AAATACATGTGAGAGAGAGAGAGAGAGAGAGGGGGATTCATTGAGGTTCAATAAATGCACAAATATATAATAAAGTCGAACGAAATTTGAATTTAAAAGATAAAGAGAGATCCAGATTATTTTGAGACAAAATATAATTGTATCAAACGGACAACGTAATCCCAACATAAAAGACGGTTCAAATTATCTCAAAAATTTAATTTTGATCTAACGGTCTACAGTTAATCCTAAATTTCTTTTCCTGCTCACGAATAAGTCTCTTATCGTTAGATTCTATACTCCTATCCCTCATACGTCTTTATCTTATATTTAAAAAAACACAATAATAACTCAAATTGAATTCATTTTAAATTAAATGATCTAAATGTTGTATGTTAAAAATGTATTATTTGTACTTTGATTTAAGTTGGTTTTGTTTAATTTCTAATTTTACGATAAAACTTTGTATAAAATTAAAAATATTTTTATTAAACACACATAAAATATATAATATCTCTAAATTTAGTGCTTTTTTTTTTCAAAGTTTGACAGTTTAACATTTGACCCCAATAACTGCATACATATCGTAACTACAACATAAAAATCAGTACCAAATTTTTGGACATATAAATTATTTAGTATATCGATTTTTTAAAAATCTTTGGTATAATATTTCATTAAAAATCATTATATACTAATTATATAATTTTTCATCCTTTTTAGTACAAGCTGATTTATACCTAAAGTACACTATAAGTAGATCTTCTTATCACGCATCTTAGTACCGATGATTGATGTTTACTTCTTACTTTTTATCAATCAATAAAGTTTAAATTGTATTTATAATCCATAAATAAAATCATCAAGTTATTATTCATACCAAAAATAAATCACTATTATATGAAAACTTATAGTTCTTAAAAAATTAAAAAAAAATTCAAAACTTAAGTTAATCAGTAATTAAAAAAAAAGTGACCAATACAAAAAAAATAAAATACCAATTGCACTAACAAAAAATGCTCAAAATCAATCTAATCGCTATATGTTGAAATTATTCAAACATCCTATCTTTGTGTGTTAAAATTTTATAAGTAACATAGTGTCTTCAGACACGGACAAAATGACCAGTACATCGATAAACTTCTAAAGAAATTAAATTTTAGTCTGATTTGATTGGAATTCGATGAGTTAAATATGGGAATACTTAAGATTAAAATTTTCTGAATAATTTAATTTGAATTAAAATTTTAAATTTACATTCATCGAATCCGGTCAGTTGATAACCATATCAAATACAGTAGTACACGTGGTCATGGTCGTCCATTGTAGAGTCTTTGGCTAGTTAATATGACTTCTTTGGTTGTTGAATCATTGATGACCTCACGATTGTGACTTAGAGTTACCACACCGTCCGATTCTGATGTTGAAATTTTCTAAGTTGACAAAACATAATGCTAAATTAAAAAACAAAGAAAAAAAAGGGTAAGTAGTTAGAGGTATAATTTAACTAATCCGCAATTCGTTTAACCTAAAACTTGTTTTGTATAGATTATAATTTCATGTCAATCAGATCATTTTTTCACTTCAACTAATTCCGTCTTTGATTCGATCAAAAAAATAGGTCATCTAGGCTGAGACTAAGATATTCATGAGAAATAAATCCTTCATGATTTGATTCCAAGAAGTGTCCAAAATTCAAATTTAAAATATTTAAATTTGTAACTAATCATTGATAATAATGATCATTAAGGCTTGATAAGTTTATCTATTATTCTGATTTAATGACATGTCAGCTAACATAGTTTAATAATATTATTATAACTATATTGTTATATGAACAATATTATGACACCAGGATATTATGTCTAAGATATATGAACAATATTATGAATACGAATAATGCAACACCGACCAAAAAAAATGATATAACATTATCATAATAATGATTGATTCTTTTGTGTCTAAAATTTTTTCTTTGGCCAAAGTAATAGATGAAGATCACAAATACAATTTGCGGGCCTTAAACGGTTGTGATGTTGAAATTTTCTAAGTTGACAAAACATAATGCTAAATTAAAAAACAAAGAAAAAAAGGGTAAGTAGTTAGAGTTGTGATTTAACTAATCCGCACTTAATTTGACCAAAAACTTGCTTTGTACATGATATAATTTCATGTCAGTGATATCATTTTTTTGTACAGGATATAATTTCATGTCAGTGATATCATTTTTTTGGTTAATTACAAAATGCCTCCTTGAAGTTTGGGTCATGTTGCAATCGACTCTCTCAGGTTTTAAATTCAACAATTTGCCCCCTTAATGTTAGAATATTTTTTAATTAGCTCCTCCGTTAATTGACACCATTAAAAATGACAAAAAATTAATATAAAGATTATCTAAAATTGATCAAAAGTACAAAACTACTCATATCTCAATCTTTTGTTTTGAAAAAAATAAAATAAAATCCAATTTGACCCTAATTCGCACCGACGAGATCCTAACTCCCCTTCTCCTCTGATTTGTATATATATACACACACACACATATGACTAGATCCAATGATTGTTGTGGCCATATTTGACTGAATCGAACAAATGGTTGTTGTGAAGTGGGGCTTGAGAGTTTTCTTGTTTTGGTATGAGAAAAGCTGGTGAAGATGGGTTTTGAGGTGTTACCAGCATTGGGTATGGGGTAGGAGATTGTCGAAGCAAGAAGGCGAGTTGAGGCTGTCATTGCTGGAGTAGGGGAAAAGGGATTTGGGGGGCATCGCTAGAGTAAGGGGTGGGGCGTTAGGGGACTACCGGAGCAAGAGGTGTGTGTTGGGGGCGCCACCACTGAAACAAGGGAAAGGGATTTTGGGGGCATAGCTAGAGCAAGGGCGTGGGATGACTGTCGAAGCAAGAGGGGGGTTGGGGACGCCACTGGAGCAGGGGAAAGAGATGTTGTGGGGAGCATGATTGGAGTAAGGGTTGGGGCTGGGGGAATACCATAGCAAGAGTTAGGGGTTGGGGACGCCGTCGAAGTACGGGAAGGGGGTTTGAGGCCTCGTCCGAGCTGGGGAAATGAGTTGGATTCAAAGAAAAGATAGAAAATAGAATTAGATGTTGGGGTATTTTAGAAATTTTGTATTTTTCATCCAGTTTCTCAGTTAATTTAAATCCAAAAAAAAAATTAAGGGGACACATTGTCAAATTGAAAACCTGAGGGAATCGACTGTAACATGACCCAAGCTTGGAGGGGCATTTTGTAATTAACCCTTATTTTTTGGGTTAAGAATAAATTTACGCACACTTTAATTAATTTTCTCTTTAGTTTGATCTAGGTCAGGATTAGGATATTCATAAGAGATAAATTTTTCATAATTTTGCTCCAAGAAATTGTCAAAATTTAAATTTAAAGTATCTGAGTTTACAACTCGTCTTTGTTAATAGTGATCATTGAGGTTGATAAATTTATCTAATATTCTGATTTATTGACATGTCACATAACATAGTTTAATAATATTATTATAACTATATTGTTATATGAACAATATTATGGGACGAGGGTATTATGTCTAAGATATATGAATAATATTATGAATACAAATAATGTTACATCGAGAAGAAACATGATATAACATTATCATAATAATGATCGAGTCTTTTGTGTCTAACATTTTTTCTTGGGCCAAAGTAATTGGTGAAGATCACAAATATAGTTCGGGGTCCTTAAACTGTTGCTTAGATGCCCTGCCTATTCTGTCGACCCAATCTACAAGTAATTTTAAGAGATAATTCAATTGGTAAGATAGACGTGTTAAAAATTAAAATATTTTGAGTTCGAATCTTGATAATTTCTTAAATTTAAGTCACAAGAAATTTATCTCTCATTAATACTATAGTCCCAACTTGAATGACCTATATTTGACTAAATAAAAAAAATTAATTAAAATACATATAAATTAACCCAAATACACAGACCATTTGAACCTAAAAAAAAAAAAAAAATGCAAGTTAAACATTTCAAACATGTTTGAATTTATGTTTCAAAACATGACTTTATTAATTGAAGAATATCTATCAAGTAGAAGACAAAGGCATGTCCCCCCGCTAGCTGTATATAATAATAGTAATAGGCATGGACGCGTATAGAGGACAGCTGGTGGGGCCAGCATTTAGACTAGTAAAATACAAACCAACCCTCTCATGGAATAATAATAATAATAATAATGTCCCATTACACTTGGAAAGATACTTAAACTTCGTGTAACAAGCATATTAAATTTGAATAATTTTTTTAATTTATTTAAAAAAATAAGTTTGACATGTTAGACTCAAGTTCTTAATACTTGCATCGATTATCGATCCTACTCTTAATAACATATATTTACAAATTAGGATTCACGTACTCTTATCTCTAAGAATGCGAGAGAAGATTTTATTAAGTTGTCGAGACTGAAATAAACAAATTTTAATGTTTTATTGTAAATTAAAAATTAATTATTTATATCATATTCACCCTTATATTTAACATATATATGCTTTTTAAAGTATTATATACAGATGTAATGCTTGAAAACGACACAGGAAAGCAAACCCATGCCACTTTAAAATACAAGTCGAGTAAGAAGATAAGAGAGATAAATATGGCATAAGCATATTGTGGTCAAATGTAGGACTTCTATTCTACATGTATCCATGTTTATGTACATGTACTTGCTTTTCCTCTTTCCTAAAGGTGGGCTTGACTTTGACTATTAATTGCATCGAAGAATTTCAAGATTACAACACCATTACCGACAAGAGAGAGAGAGATTACTATTCTATTCTATGTTCCATCAGCCCACCACCATACTATTCCATTTTCTGTATTAATTAATGCAAGGGAAGATGAGTCTTGACAAACTAAAAGTGGCAAAGTTTTCTTGACCTTCCTCCTGCAAGTTGCAAACCACAGCTTCAAGCTCTGCCTATATATCTCTCTCTATACATCTGTTGGGTGTTCATTTAACACCAGTTTGAGAGTACCCGTGTTAGAATAAGCTCTGGTACTGTTAGAAAACCTAAGAGAGAGAGAGAAGAAAAGCTAAGAGAGAGAACAAGAGAGAGCTTGTTGATTTTCAAGGACTATGGAGTATACAAGTCTGGTTGACACTTCATTGGATCTTAATTCCAATCCTCTCCGACTTCTCGATGAAGCTCCGGTACGTGAAGATCTTCTCATTACTAATATCGCATGTGCTAAATGGTCTAGTGTTTGTAAAAACTTTCCTGGAATTGCTAAATATAGATTTTTTTTTTTTTTTGCTTGCTTTCAGAAACGTGATGTCCAAAGCAATTTCATTGAGTTGGGAACGAAGCTACCAGTGAAAGAAGAGGTGATCGTTTACCTGATTGTGTTCTTCTTTCATCGTTACCTTCTTCTTCTTCTTCTTCTTCTCCTTCACATCACACACCGCCAATATACATTTTAATTTTTTCTCAGTTTTTTCATCAAAAAATACCAAGTACACTTCTAATTACCTTCAAAACTGCTATAGCACAGCACGATCATGAGTTCTCTTGGTTTCTGAAGCTATATTTTTGTGTGTCACTATCACAGACTGGTGCTATGGTAGAGGAATTGAATCGGGTGAGTGCCGAGAACAAGAAGCTCACAGAAATGTTAACAGTGATGTGTCAGAATTACGACGCCTTGCGAAATCGTTTGAAGGAATATGTGATTAAGAATCCCGGAACTGATCAGACCACCACTGCATCGAGGAAGAGAAAAGCTGAAAGCACCACCCAAAATAACAACAATAATGGTCATAATATTGATGCAACTAATGGAAATTCGGAGAGTAGCTCAAGTGAAGAAGATTGGTCCAAGAAACCAAAGGAAGAACACATCAAAGCTACTATTTCAAGGGTCTATGTGCGAACCGAAGCATCAGATACAAGCCTTGTAAGTCCTTGGCTAGCTCAGTCTTCTTCTACATTAGCCAGACCACCCCCCTTAACCATTAAGGGTGGTCCAATGGTTCTATTGTTTTGTAACTCAGAAATTTTAAGTTCAATTTTTTTTTTCACATTGTTAAAGACTAGCTACCATTGTTCCATTGGGACATGCTCTAGACCAGCTCAAGTTACACTGGTCAGCCAAGCTCGAGGGAGTAATCGGCTCGAAATAGTCGGTGCAAACCTGAACACCTTATAACAAAAATAAAATAAAATAAAATAATCAAACCCCTTGCACTAAAGTTCTGAAAAAAACCCATCTAGAGCTTGAGACTGTTGTGACCACCCTTTCATGGTTAATGATTCATTTGAGGAGTTTTTATTGAATATGGTGTCTTAACTGAGCCCTTGCTTTGAGGTATTTCTGCAATAAGACATGGTTTCTAATAGAGAGTAATTTTGTGTGGGTTGCAGATAGTGAAGGATGGATATCAATGGAGGAAGTATGGTCAAAAGGTCACCAGAGACAACCCTTTTCCTAGAGCTTACTTCAAATGCTCTTTTGCGCCTAGCTGCCCTGTGAAAAAGAAGGTGAGAAAGCTTTATCTAGTGTCCTCCAACAAATTTGATTCATAGGATCGTACCCAGTGTATAAATTTCTTGTTGAGTAGATTAGTGATAAGCAGTCTTACATCCATAGATGAATTCTTGAACTCGAATCCACAATATATAACTAAGCAGTCATGTTCAAGATGACACGGCTGTGTGATCAACTTTGTGATAAATGTTAATTAACAGCTCACTGATCCAAACATGGCATCTAGTATGTCATCCTGGGAAAGTTTCTTTTTTTTTTTTTTTTTGGGTTCAACAGTGTACACGCCCAACTTATAAGTAGCTCGACTAATCCTTTCATGAGAAAGTTTGTTTTGGATTCTTAAATATCCAATCTCTCCTTCTATGTATGCAAAGGCATGGGATAGTATTCTAAGCTTCTTAATTGTTCCCAATCTTACTTCAGGTTCAAAGAAGTGTTGAAGATCAGTCTGTATTGGTTGCAACCTATGAAGGGGAGCATAACCATTCACACCCTTCAAAACCCGACGCCAATTCGGCCTCCAACCGATGTATGACACTTGGTTCAGTCCCTTGTTCGGCTTCTCTCTGCTCGTCTGGACCCACGATAACTCTTGATCTAACAAAACCCAGATCCAGTGATGATGATGCAAAAGAGTCTAACCGCAGAATTGAATCACCACCATTTCCACAGTTCTTGGTAGAACAAATGGCCTCTTCACTGACGAAAGATCCTAGTTTCAAAGCTGCTCTCGCGGCTGCCATTTCAGGAAGAATTGTCCAGAATAATTAGACAGAAAATTGGTGAGAACGAATCGACAACTTGAAATTGAACTAAAGCCATTCGTGAACAAAAGGGTACACTTTAAAGTGTGGTTGCGTTGAGCTTATTAAACCAGACCCAAACACAAGCTCGCCCCACCCAGATGGGCATAGTTGGCTGCAAGTAGTAATGCCACAAGAAGGTTCCTGGTTAAACTGTATCGGATGACAAATTGATTCCAATGTTCACTATTTTTTTTGGTCAATTGTTCATATATTTTAGTTCTCTCTCTCTCTCTCTCTGCAACTTTCTGAAAACCACCCGTAACCTGAGGACAAACACACTCGTCCATTCACGGGATCAAGATTCTTGCATCTACAAACAGAAAAAGTGTAGACACCATTAAACAAATACTAACAGATGATTATCCTTAAATCAAACATACCCGAAGGGGTGGACAAAATACAAACAGCATACACGAAGTCCTAACGGTGAAAGGGACCAAAGAAGGAGGCTCATGTTGTTTACCATGACAAGAAATCTAAACACCAGAGGAAAAAAATGGTCAGATTACCCTAATCACTGTACAGCATATCGGCCTAACATCCATCTCAGAAGGGAAGACGCACCTCACCAAATTAAATCAGAATCACTTGTATGCAAACCACCTGCCCCAGACTACCGGCCCATTGCACGAAAGAGTAAATTACAAGACATCAACTATGATCCTGACAAATTACTCCATGGTTAAACCCAAATCATCAATAGCTCTTGATAGTCCCAACTCAATTGCCGCAGGTTGCTTACCTTGGACCTTTGCCTTTAGGCTGTCATCCTTATCCCTTGTATCGTCTGCGGCTATGCATTCCTGGAATCTGAAGCAACTGATCAGATGATCATTTGTCATTCCAGCCACTTGCATGAATGTGTAGACAACTGTAGGCCCCACGCCTCGGAACCCTCTTCTCACGAGATCTTTGCTTATTGCATCTGCTTTTGACGTCTTAATTGGAACCTGCCGAGGGTAGCGGAAATGACTCACTATGGGCTTATGGTTTACAAAGCCCCATAGATAGTTGCCAAAAGACCCATACTCTTCCATTATCTGCATCACCACAAGACATAAAAATAAAAAAACTCAGACTAACAGCTCTCACATCTATTTATATGCATCTAGTATTCACTTCTGCTTATACAGTGGCATTATGCCAATGGTAAACTAAAATTCAATCACGATACACCCCACTGGCACTTTTAGTTTAGGTTTCTTAGCTAGGACTTGTCCTATTGGGATTGGTAAAGGGTCAACCAGCCCAGGAGACACAAGTGGAAGCTGGCTTGGTGCCCTTTACCTTTACCATACAGATAAACAGATCTTCATGAGATAAAGGGAAGCAAGATATTGGCACTGCAAGAGAAAAAATATTAGTAAAGATAATAAGAAAATTAGAACATACCTTCAAGATTTGACGTGCATTTGCAATGATCCCTCGAAGCTTAAGTTCCGATAGAAGAGAGCTGGCAGTGCTTCCTGTTGTGACTATCTGCTTCTCATTTACTTTTGACACGACAATTGGGTCGAAGTCCTGATAGACTTCTCTGCGCATGCATACATATTAGTTGGAATCAGCAGGGATAAAAGTCATTGAGTGGTGCACCATCTGATAATGGCACTCGTTTGGTTGGTAAGAGGTTAAGGTAAATACTAGGATACGATACCTAAATATGTGCCTTTTATTGAGAATTGCAGGCCATGTAAGTTCGGCTAATGCAGTAGATAAACTGAGCAATTCGAACAATTTCCTGCAAGTTGTCAAGGACAATCAGAGGTATACAGAGAAGGCCATCTAATGGTGGTTTGTAAATCAATTGGAAACTACAAAACAAATATGCGATAATTTTGTGAGGCAACATACTTGTCATCATGGACTGGAACTCCCCATTCTTCGTCATGGAAAGCAGCGTAACAGGGATCTTTTGAAAAAATGAAAACCATTTAGCAGGTGGAACAAAAGGATCATTTGGTTAAATTCTACAGCACAGTGATAAGGATCCCATGACAACATGGGAAAGGAAGAAATTATAAGGCTGGTACAATCAGTGCCCTCATCCAGAACCTTCAACTAATTCTGCAAGTCCTGACTCCTCTGCATTAGATCAGTCGTGAGCTTTCGGGGGGGAAGCAAGAAGAAGGATAGACAAGATCACTTAAACCCGTAAATGCCCCCACCTCAGCATTTTTCCTATACCAGTGATCGTCATAACACTAATGGATAGTACTAGTGATAATAGTAGTCTATACACACCCTTCCTACACAGTCACACATCCGCACAAGATACGAAAAGAAAAGAAAACGCATAAGACTTACAAAAGGATGAAGTATCATGCCACACATTCGACGATAAGTTCATTTCCTATTCACTACTTGCACCATAAAACTTGGTATAGAGACCTTTTTCTTGCATCTACCTTATTTGCCTTTCTGCATCCTTGATTTTGCTAGATCTCTTGTTTTAGCATCTCTTGTGTTCATTTGCATTACATTCTTTAATGTCTAAAACTGAACGTGGATGGCATAACTCAGTTTGGAGCCCTCTTATTACTAGGAAATGATTGACCGTAAACAGGAGAGTAAATGTCAAAAAGAAGCAGAGCTCCTCAAAAGGTATGAAGAAAAAGACTAAGATGCAAGACTAGAGTATACACAATAACAAGGGACCAAGATGCAAATATGATATCAAGATTGATAGTCCACACCGGTAGCTCAAGTCAGAAAATATAACATACCACTGTTTGGCGTCACCCAAGAACACCTCTTCTTCACTGCTGTACCATCAGCTGAACCTACTGATACACTGTCACTATCAGTATCAGTCTTCTCAACCTTCTCACTCTTCGAACTGCATTGCTTCCTCCCAATAGGCGTCACGCTGCGCCGACTCATCTTACCCGTTGACGCCCGACTGTGTGACGAATCCGAGGACGCGTCCGAGGAACAGGACGCATTCAAAGACAAATTCAATCTCAAAATCTTCTGGTCCTGCTGCTTCAAAACGGACGGCACAGTCTTATAGTTCTTCGACAATGCCGGTGAAGTTGGTGATGATGGAGCTTTATTAGCCCTGGATTCCTCGATTTCCTTAGGTTTCTCGACTTTACTCTTCTGTTTGACCACCGCCTTTCGCAATTCCACAGGTATAGCAATGTTACCGGCCGGTCCGAGCACCGGTCGAGTCTCTGACTCTGCACAATTCATCGATTTCACTCGCAGTGGCCCTGAACTGAAGCAATTCTACTGTATTTGCCCCAATTCGAAAAAATTCAGGGTATTTGGATCAGTGACTGGTGTAGGGCTGGAACATTTAGAGATTGAAGAAGATGCGGAGTTGCATTGTGAATATATGGGGTGGAGAGATGGAAATCTGAGATGTGGTTATGGAAACCCTAGAAGGAGAGAGAGATGCATTGGCGATGATGGAGTTCAGTAGGAAGGAGGAGTTCGCGGTGGTTCTACTGCAAAATCAAAATACCAATTTTGGAAATTTGTGGGCTTGTGGCTGTTTGATCGAAGTATAGAAACAGAAAAGAGACTGCCGGTGACTGAAGTTGAGAGAGAGAGAGAGACTGTGTGTGTGAGACAGAGGTGGTGTGGGGGTAAAGTCACCAGTTATAAATTGCCACGTCATAACTTAAAAGGTCCAGACTTTCTAAAAGCAGAAAGGCTGTGTAGTGTACAGCGGTGTCTGACCGGGTTGGTCTCCGGTTTACCATATTCAACCTTGGACGCATCATGGAGTAAACTAACTACATGTCTATTTTGTCAATTGAGTTCACGAAAACATCTCTCTCTCAATTAAGCCTCTGAATTTTTTTTTTTTTTGGTATCAATTAAATTTTTTAGTTGTGTCAATTACGTTCTTTTGTTTGCCATCGTTAAACGACCAACTATATCATTCACGTAACACAAATGACAAATTTTGATTTGGAAATAATTGGCCAACTAAATAACAAAATTTAGGGATAAATTTAATTTATATATTGAAAGATCACTCAAATCTCAATTTATACCTTTAAAGTTTAAAAATATTAATTTATACCTTGAAAGATATAAATTTATATTAAAGTGCACTAGAGGTTAACTGCTATCTATTTTTCAGTTAAAAAAATTTGAGATAATTATAAATTACACCTTCAAAGTCTAAATATTTCACATTTATGATTAAAAAAAATACTCGTTAAATACCTCTCAATTGTGTCGTATCGTATTATTTTAAGTCATGTCTAATCATTTTCGTGTTTTGTTTGAGTCGATAAAAAAAATATTTTTAACACAATATTTTTGTATCGAGTCAATTGCGATGTGTCATATATTTCATATTCATGATGATTTATATAATATTTTTTAATATTTTTTAAAAATTATAAAAATACCTATTTTTTTTTTTATCTATAATACTCATTAAATAGTTATTTTCTATTTATAATTATGTTATTCATATCTAATTTTAATTTGATCGAACAATCAAAAGATTCGTATTTAACTATAAATAGAAAATAGTTATTTAACAATTATGGTAAGTAAACAATAGGTATTTTTAAATTTTAAAAAAAATTTAAAATATTTTTTTATTGACTCAAACATGACACGAAAATATTATAACACGATACAGTTGAAAAGTATTTAACTAACATTAATGAAAGAAATTTTTTTTGAATCATAAATATGAAATATCTAAACTTTAAAGGTACAATTTACAAGTGGTCCAAATTTTTTTAATGGTAAAATAGATGACAATTAATCTCAAATGCATATTAATATGAATTTATGTCTTTTTAAGGTGTAAATTAATATTTTTAAATTTTTAAGGTATAAATTAATATTAATATTCAAATGATCTTTCAAGGTACAAATTGAAATGACCTCAAAATTTACACCAAATTGGTAAATACAAAAGATAGAAACGTTGTATTTTCGTGGTGCATTTTTTGTGCACCACCAAAACTATTACTTCCCAACACGGGGGGGAAGAAATTTGCAGATCTTTCATAGATATCAATGTCGATAGAAGCTGTCAAAAACTGCAATCCAGATTCTAGCAGACCCTTCGAACCCTTGTGTTTCCTCCTCTCCCTGTTTGGGACTATTTTGTGGTCACTCTAAATTTAAAGTAAGATTGATGCTACATTACAACTGAAGGCAGAAGGTTTATATGCTTCAGTGATCATATAACACTTGATGCGAATTACTCAGAGAGACAAGTCTATAATTGATCCTTTCATGATATTAAGCAATCATTACTTCAAGTACGAGAAGCATGCCAAAAAAAATAAGGGTTCTTTCTGGTTGGTTTCTTTGGCTAAACACCAAAAGAGTAGTCAAATTGCACACAAATTTTAATAAATAAAAATGGTAATCCAGTGCACGAGACTCCCGCTATGGTAATGTTTTAGGAAATAAATTTAAGTAAATCTTAAACATAAAAACTCAAACATATAGCTACGGACAAAAAATGAGAATGACCTCATTTAAATTAGTCTCTGCAGCTCTAATTCTTCCAACTTGGCGGTTAGTGTCTTTTTCTCAGTTCAAGATAGTGGCTTGGCACGAGTAGCAGGATCTTCCTTTGATTCCAGGAGTATCACGAATACATTGCCCAGTACCCACAATAGAAGGTAAAAGAAGGGAACCCAAGATAGACAAGCAAGAAGACTCGATATACCACCAACATATTGAGGATCCCTTATAACTCCAAAAGGAAATTCTGTCACCCATGGAATATCCTTTCCGAAGCGCACACCGTAATAAGTGCCTGATTCACCGAGCAATTGATATACTCTGTAATATGAGTCATATTAGATTGACAGACAAACAAAGAAGTTAAAGATGAAATGCAACATATTACACTGTCTTAGTGGACGACAGCGCACGTAACTATTGGTACATTTGGTGCCATTCTGTGAAATAGTTCCAAGAGATCAGAAACTGGTGTATGAGTTTGATGAAAAGATACATCATGTATACAGATTTCTTATGCAACCTTGAACAGATTCAGTAGATATATCAAATTAGAAAATAACTTCCTTCAGTGACTTGGTAGAGAAACTTGTTTATAGCTCACATATTTGGCTTGAAAGCCCATGATGTTTCACAGTGATCTCAGCCATTAGCTCCGAACAAATACTGGTGCACACTATTACTTTTGGAGAGAAAAATCAAATGCTGAACATATGAATTCCTTGGGAACAGGTCCATCTTTGAACAAAATCAAACGTGACTGTCACGCTCATGGTGCTTCAGAGTGATCCCCCAAAGTTGATCATTACGTTATTGCACATTGTTGCTTTAACGAGGACGAAATCAACCCCCGACCACACAAATACTTTGAGTAACAGGTCCATCATTGAATATTACACTGACTAGACAATTTACCTCTAGTTCACCCTTTACATAAGAATGAAAAAAGTTCACCCCATGCAGCTCCCTCCTTTCCATTTTCAGCTTCCACCATCCTACCCCCCACGCGTCTCTCATCCTGGCATGATGTTTCAGCTCCTTTTTTGCATTATACAATTGCATCCTCAAAATTTGTAACCAGTGCACTCTTTGAACTCCCCCCCCCCCCCCCCCCGGCCAAAAAAAAAAAAGCACCACCATCTCCTCCCTCAATTGATGAGTTGTTTTACTATTCAATAGAATGTCTATCCCTCATGCACAGCTTGCCATCACAAATGCAAACTTTGTGTCTAAATAGCTTCACATTACTCTTACAGCAGCAGTAATTGCAAAGCACCTTCACTTGCACCTTCCCCCAAACAGTTTATGGATAATCCAACGAAATGTTTACTTACGTAAACTGCACTAGGCTTTTTAAGTGAATAGAGTTTAGAGAGCAGGGTTTAAGTGCATCAAGGAAAGATTGCAAGGTCACCAAGAAAGCAAAAATTAATAAAATTTCAATCTTGGAACTACAACAGCAGTATTTTTCAATATTAACCCATTTCATCTTGCAAAAGCTTATTGCCACACCAAATTTGTTTCTGTGTGCTTTTGGGTTTTTTTTTGGGGAGGGGGGGGAGGGTTTGAATAGTGTTCCTCCTTAAGACATGATCAATATCTAAAAATAATCACATACCCAATATCTAAAAGCATAAGATTATGGACAATATCCAACACACCCTAGAAAATAACAATTCTACCGAAGGAAGGAATAAGAAAAATGGCTCACTGTCAATTCCATTGTACCTTGTCGCAAAACAATTGAACCCATCTCAGAAACAGTTTTCAATTGGGTATATTGTTACAATTCACCACATTGCAACCCATTTTAAGATTGAATCAAATCACAAGTACATACTAACATCAATCTGTATAGAATAGAGAGAGAGAGAGAGAGAGAGAGAGAGAGAGAGAGAGAGAGAGAGAGAGAAGTAGGGTACCTGACCTGAAATTGAGGAACTGGCCAAAGATAAAGAGGGGCCAGAAATAGAAGGGAGGCGGCCAAGAGAGGGTGGAGACGGAAAAAAGAGAGATGAACTGAATGAGCTTGAGGAGGTGAGAGACAAGAGCCATGATTTTGGAAGGGTCATGCCCTTTGCCACACAGGTCCACCCATGTCTGAGGGTTAGTCCACAACCAGTAGTAGAATGGGAAGGGCGACAGCACCCCCATGCATGCCAATACGCCCATTTCTCTATCTCTAAATCTCTCCTCCACAACCAAGAAAGCCCTCAAAATCACTCCGCGCTCTCTCTCTCTCTCTCTCCATGTAGTCCGTACCGGGTGTAAATCCATGGACCATGTCTACGGGCTTAGGGCCCAATGCGGAGACTTCCACCACTGGCAGAAACTTTAGGGAAAATTACACTTTTACCCCTAAATTATGGACTTCATTCACTTTATTCTTTTAATTATTTAATTTTTCACATTTTCTTCTTAACTATTTGAATTCTTTCACATTATCCCAAAAGCATACATCCGCGCTGAGATTTTGGGGGTCACCTCACAGCCTTTTCTTCTAATCAAGTTGCAGTTGGCCATGTTTCGGTCATAATGAGTCTCCTATATCCTCTCTTTAGTAAGTTTTTTAATTTTCAATTTTCAATCTTAAAGAACTAATACGTTCTCTTCTCAAAAGCCTATAATTTGGATGAAAATTATTAACGTGTTTGGACAAAGTTAAAAAACACATAATTTGAAAGTTAAAATAAAATAAATTTCTATCAAATTTTTAACGGGCTTTAATAATTAGGATGACGTGAAATTAATCACATAATTGATAGCACTATATTAAAAAAATATGAAAATTTAGGGGACAATATAAAAAATAGTAATAGTTTAGGAGTCAAAAGTGTAATTTTTCCGAAAACTTTATCATCTAATCTTGTTAAATAGTTTCCCTCCTCCTCTGCTCTCTCTCTCTCTCTCTTATCAACCAACCATCCGCCATGGCTGTACCCACGGCCTTCTCATCACCTCGCACACAGTCTTCCCTATATCCTCTCTCTCGGTCTCATCCATCTCACCCTCCTCTCTGTCTCACCCCTCTCTTATCTTCTCGCGCACTGTCAATTTCCCCCACTTTCCAAACTCTCCCAAGAATCCCATTCCCTTCAATTCGCTGCGCACAGAAAGAAGCTCCGCCTGACATCAACCCCAAGCTTGGAGTCTCAGTATACAAACCCAAGTCCTACGAAGTCATTGTCACGGACGCCGCGAACTGTCTCGCTTTTGCTCTTGACGAAGGAAAGACCCGTGTCGAAATCGAGTTTCCGTAAATTTCTTTCTTGTTTGAATTTCTCAGTTAAAATTCCTAGTTTTTGGTTGATACCCATTTTTTAGTTTAGTTTGAGATAGAATTCTGAGCTAATGCTCATTTCATGATTGCTGATTTCGTTTTACTTCCTTTCTGCATAAAGTATGGTGACTTCATTTTACTTATCCATCTAAACCGGATTGTGTATAGTTGATTTAGCTTGAAGAACATTGTTGGTTATTCTATATCTTGAACATTTCCAATTGCTTAATAGGTAATGGAATCAAATTAAATGGGAAAAGTGATTCATCGGTTATCCATTGTGATGTTCCAGAGTTATGCCTGTGAAATATGTCTATAGTTCAGTAGTATTGTGTGATTTGTTCGTAATATGCATCAATAGTTTGTGAATTGGTTAATGTATGTAACAGAGCCAGTTAAACAATCTGGTTAGTAATCAGAGGACTAACATTTGTCAAACTTTGAGATTCGCATGATGCTTTCATTTTCTAGTTGGATTGCAAGTTATGAGGTTCTTCTCATTTTTTTAGGATATTAATTTTTGTTCCAAATATTTTTTTGTTGTTTCAACTTCAATATTCAAGCTCTTGAGTATATTGCCAATTTTAATCCTGACACTGTTTCCTTCTTCTGCCTGATTTTTCACTGGATTGCATCATCAGTCCCTTGCCTACCAGCATTGCTTCTTATAAGGTACCTCTTTGCTGTCAAGTTTTTTTAGCTCATTATTGCAAACACTTCATAAATTGTCCTGCTCTTCATTGATCATAATTTCTATTATTGTAACATGCTTCTTGTTTTGATTCTCTGTTTCCCTGCCTTAGTTATTCATTATCACTTCCTATGGTGATCTTGCCTTTGACATTGCATTGTCTTGCTGACAAAACATATTAATGAGACATGATATTCACAACTTTCTTAATACGTGAAGGGATCATCTGATGAGTTTATAGATGCGAACATTCAACTTGTCTTGGCTCTTGTTAGGAAACTACAAGAGAAACAGGAAACAAGAGCTTGCATCGTAAGAAGAGACTTCCTTGCTTTCATATGATGTATCAAATTTTAACTCATAGAGAACAAGTGAACTCTGACATAGTATCTTAATTTCTAGGTATTTCCAGATCAGCCAGAAAAGCGTAGGGCCTCAAAGCTTTTTAAAGCAGCATTTGACTCGGTAACAAAGTAATTCAGTATAGACTAAATCTGCATTTTGATCTGCCATGTACAATGTAGCCTCAGTATTAGAGGATGTTCTCCATGGAGGAGTAAAGTGTTTAACTCCCCAAGATTGCTGTCCCTTGGTAATGGGTGGTCTCTCTTTATTCACCCCTTGTTGGGCTCTGGATCAGGTTGATGGGATTTGGGGGGTAAACTGTTGTACCACAACTCCACATGTATTTTTTTGGAGAAGTGCTATTAAATTTTTTCAATATAAAGTATTAGAAATCCACTTGTGATAATTATATTAATGGTGATTAACTTTTGTTCCCTTAATTTCGTGTATCAGAATGGCTTCCATGTTGTAGAGATTTCTTGGACAATTAATTGCATTCATTTTTTAAGAACAAGGTTTAGAGAAATTTAGAGCCTTTGTGTAACTCTTTAATTGCTTCATGTTGAATTCACTTTTGATTATTTTTTCTTGTTTTTTTCTCTCTTTCAGATCGATGGTGTAACCATTGCTTCCTTGGATGATGTACCGAGTGGTCCTGTCTCCACATTCTTCAGATCTTTAAGGAACACGCTGGATTTTGATTTTGAGGATGAGAATGAAGGTTGGTCTTAGAAAATAATGCCTTGGTGCTTTCTGACTAACAATAAATTCAACAAAATTTGTCCTATGATTGAAATTGATAATACTATACCTGGTCTTGGAACCACCAACTATGGTGCAAAAAGGAAGTTATGTGCTGCAACTTTCTTTGTGTTCTGTGTATTTCTTTGTGACTGACTCATTCCCAAATGTGATGCGAAGTAAAGTAATTTGAGTTGTACATCACAATTTAATTTAAAAGATATTAAAGAGTAATACAAAGTTATCTTAAAAGGCTATAGGGAGAGTACATTTTAGTTAGTAAAATTGTGGGGCCAATATCATTTCTGACACCCTTAATGGGAGGTTTCCATTCTCAAAAGCTGCAGGTTGTTGTAATTGGTTTTAAAACAAACATGGCCTATCTTTTGTGAACTGAAGGGTTTGTTTCTTCTCAGAAATCACAACTATTAATTTTCTTCAATGTTTGCCTACACCAATATCAAGTAGATTCTTACATAGATAACTATATCCACATATATAAGTACAAGAATATATCACGAAGATCTTAATAACTGTCTGTAGCATGCAACAGGTTTCAACAATTCAATGTATCAAGGCGTTGGACTTTAGCATTCTGTGCCATATCTTATGAATGCAGGTTGTTGGCAGTCTGACAAGCCTCCATCGCTTTATATATTCATTAGCTGCAGCACACGTGATCTTTCTACGATAGAGAAGTTTGTGGTATGGTCTCCCCACCTTTAGATTGCTTTTGTCTATCAATATTAAATATTGAAAGTGGAGAGTTGTTGTCGAAATCATATTAGACTTACTCTTGTTATTAAGAAATGAACTTGCATTGAAAAAAGGGAAATTTAAAAAGTGGTGGAAATCAAATTAAATATGCTACTATTGCTTCTTCTTATATTGTTTGGTACCTGAGGCCCTGAATATTTCTTTGGGTGAGTGCACTAAATTTGTGCTAATAGACCAACTCTTGGATTTACTTTCCTTTTTTTGGGTTGAATTATGTAAGTAATTGTTTTAGGAAGTCCCTAAGGGTGAATTAATTAGGTTTTTGTTGATCGTATAACAAGAGTACCTAACTGGATGCTTGCTTCCTCACTAAAAGGTGGCCCGCCACTGTGGGTTTGGGAAGTGTCAGATTTATGCTTGCTTCCTCAGTATGACACTGAATATCGCAGATGCAGGACATATTCATTTTATCCCAGTATTCAGTGGGGGTTTTTTTAGCTTGTGTGTTGCTGGGTTTTTATTCTTTTTTTCAGTTAGTGGAGGGGTTGGTGGTTGAGTTATGGGATTCAGAATTACTTCCCATCACTTGGCAATTATAGAGAAGTGCACATCCAGATTTTCAGCATCAAGTGATTATGTCAGAGCAGTATGAGAGGCCTGCACTTCCTAATGGTGAGTGGTGGTGGTTCCTCATACTTTCATGACTCTTTATTTAAAAGATACTTAAAAAAAGCAAAAACAAAGAAGAAAGGTTTCTTCAGAGCAGACTTGTTTTTAGATGTTGTATCCTTACTCCAGTTTCTACCTTAATATCCAGAAGGTTGTGGAGAAATGAATCAATCCTGTCCTAGATTTTGTATCAGAGTGTAAACACGTTGTAAGGTAATGTATTCAGTGATCATGTTCCTTTAGAGGAAAATTGATGAGAACTTTCTGAAACAGAGTCTTGAAACATATAACTCTTAAAGCAAGCTAATGGAGGGAAATTAAGTGCATATTATTTTGTGTATGCGGCATCAATTAAAAATATTGGGTAACATGCAGGAAAAAGTTTTCTGTGGCATGCAGCTAGTCTCATTATTCAAGTTATATTTTGGTCACCATTGCCTAGGCCCCTCATCCAGTTTTCGTCCAGTGCTAATCTTCAAGTCCAATTTGATTCTGTCTCCTATAATAACTGTGTGTTTGAAATGTGCAGGACAAATTTGCTACATCAATTCCCACCATTCTTTTCAATCTGGAACTTGATACATTGCGGTATACATAAATGGTTTCGTAAATTTTGACAGATTTTTTATTCTGTTTTCTTTCCTTGACTAACAAATCTGTTGGACCTTGCAGTGCTGACCTGGGCCTTGTAGGGTTTCCGGCCAAAGACTTGCACTATCGATTTCTTTCTCAATTTACCCCAGTGTTCTACATTCGAACAAGAGAATACTCTAAGGTAATTCTTCTTTGCTCAAAGTATCATTTGCATTAAATATGTTTTTCTTTCATAATTGTTTGAGCAAGTTCAAAAACAATTATGGTTTGAACAACATTTTTTTCTATGATGGAAGACAGTTGCAGTGGCACCTTACATCGTGAACTATAATGGAGCATTGTTTCGTCAATACCCTGGTGAGAAATAGATTTTCTTTGGGTTATCACTGTAAAAAAAAAAAAAAAAAAAAAGAACTCTTGCATAATTCTCATGCCAGATGCTCATTCAGATTTCCCATTTTTAGAGACTTAATCTGCTAAATAAGACTTGCTAGACATCATTTCCTTATGTTCTTTGGGTATCTTCATACTCAAGCTAATATTTTCAGAACCAATGATTCCTGAAATTTGTAATTCAGTCTCACCATTAGTACAGAATTAGGTTTCAGCAGTGAACTTCGATATATTTTTTCGTTTAGCAATAAATTGGAAAGAGATAGCCTGAAGACCATCCCTTCATATTCATCACGTATTTGATTAATAAAGTTTCACCGATGAAGATGGTATATCTTTATTTACTTCCGTTCTGGAAATTGAAGTTCGTTTTCATGTGCCTGCTTCCCATTAAAGTGAGGAAATGTGCTCATTAAACCGAGTCCGTCTGGCTACAGAAGCAGGGAGGTGGCAGTGGAAAAACCCCTCTTAGTAGGTGTAACTAGTGAAGATGTAAAATCCTTGTCTGGCATTGGTTTTTCCACCATAAATTCTTGGGGATTATACCATACGCAGATGTCCCGTAGAAATGAAAAAGTTCCACTTTTTTCTCTCCATAGCAATTTGAAGCACAAATTTATCCTGCCACGTGGATTTTTAGTTACTGCAAAATTATTTGTCATTGACAAAGTTAATAGTTTTTGTACATGTTAATATATTAAATTCTAAAAGTTATAGATTAGTCTCAACAAGGTCTTGTGATATACGAGTTGAGTTCAACTTTATCACTATTTAAAATACGACGACAGGGAGATGTCATATCCAAATACATCTGGATTATCCTCAAGTGATTTGGCATATTTACCTTATAAATGTTCAACTGATTGTTGGCTTATAAGAAGCATATGAGTTGGGCCAACTTGGAATCTGTGGCTACCCTCCTCCTGCTTAACATTTGCTTTATATTTTTGCAGGGCCATGGCAGGTAATGCTGAAACAACAAGATGGTTCTTATGCTTGTGTAGCAGAGAGTGCAAATCGCTTCACACTGGGCGAAGTAAATATACATTTAATCCTTAAAACTGCTCTTGCATCCTTTGTTGCTTGTTAGCTGTGACAAATGTTCTCTCTCATTAATCTAGTGGCTATATTGTATGCACAGACCAAGGAAGAACTGTTGAGGGTCCTTGGACTTCAGGAGGAGCAAGGAAGCTCACTTGAATTTCTTCGAAGAGGTTACAAGGTCGGTAATTTTTGTTGTTTGGACCTCTCTCTGTTTATGGCCTTCGTAAACATGCACTTAGTGATAGTGTTTTTTTTTTTTTTTTGTGTTTTTGTGTTTTTGAAATTGTGAATGAGGTATTAACATCCTTTTTGTAAAACCAATTGACTTGAACTCTGTTGCATCGACAATGTAATCTGATATTGCAGACTGCCACTTGGTGGGAAGAAGATGTTGATTTGGAATTATCTTCTGCATGGCGTAGTTGAGCAGCAGCAGCAGTGGAAACATCAACAGGAAGTTCTTAGAAACAGATACATGGAGTACAGTAGATCAGAGATGCAAAGTGTCAGAGTCCATAGACGCGGTTGGAGGGTTGAGCTATTGTATTCTCATTATTGTTTCTTCAAATATTTCAGTTTCTACTGGGTTAAATCCTATGTACTCCATTTTCCTCACCAGTATTCCTTTTTTGGGTTGGAGTGAAGAAATTTGAATGCTTGTGCCTTTTCATTATTCCATGTATATTTTTCCCCACATTATTCCTTCTTTCGGTTGGAGTGGGGAGAATTAGAATACGATTATGGGTCACCTTCATTCATTGTTCAGGTAAACCTTTACCCCATTGCTCCATTTCATGTTTTTCTTGGTTGATTGAAAATAGTAGGAACAAAGTAAGTTGGGAAAGTTCATTTGATCTTCATTTGGATCAGAAGAAGTAGATATGGAGCCCTGCTTAAATAAGGCCAGGCAGGGGGAAAATGGGAAAAAAAAGAGAAAATTACATTCAGACCTTCCGAAGTTTATCACTTAATCACTTAGACCTCTTGACAGTTAACATATTACACACAACAAATAAATTCTCATTGTTAATGTCCATTACTACATTATTTAATAAATTATATTCAGATTTTTGAAATTTGAAACGTGTAATATTTTGATCATTTAAGTTTAAAATATTAAACTTGTATCAAAAATGTTTTAATTAAAGATAAAATATCAAATATTTTAAAATTTATAACTAAATTTATTTTCTATTATGTCATTTATTGAAATAAAATTAAATATATGTATATATATATATATATATTTAAAAAAAAATCATAATTAGTATTGTTGATACCTAACAAAACAGTAATTAATATAAATATATTAAAGAATTCAATTCAACCCTCGTTTGAATACAATTATATTATCTTTTAGAATAAAACTAAAAAATAATCAAGGGGATATAGTGTAATTGACAGAATATCTTCTATCTTTAATGAAGATAATTTGGTGGTTTAATAGATTCTGTAGTTCCATTACTAATATAGTGTTTAAATGTAATATTTCAAACTTGAGGTATAAGTATACGCTTACGAATTTTAGGGGGTCTAGTTATAATTTACTAATAGATATATATTGACGGTAAGAGTTTAATAGTTGCATTTGTATATAAATATTTCAAATGTTTGGGAGTGAGTTTGGGCATAATTTTTCCCAAAAAAAAGTATTAAAAATTAATAATTCATCACCATAGGATGTTGGTGGTCCGTAGCAAGTAATTAATTGTTAGACGGCATGAGTACCATCTCTACAATACCAAGTAGGTTGGTTAATCTTCAGCAAAATCAGGCTCCGGAGGTCTCTGCGGTTTCGTGAAGCTCCCGGAACTTCTGGAGCTTCGAAACCTATGAACTCCACGGAGAGCATTAGCTGCAAACCGTGATACTAACATGGTTGCACCAAGTCTCGATGTATTGCTCCTGATCAATGCACTTTCTTCATCTTCTTCTTCCACAGCTTCTTCATTTCGATTTAGTTCTACAACTTTCCTCCTGGAATACCGACGCCATGCAGCTTGTATAAAGATGGCAGCCCAAGTCCTCCATTGCTGCGAGTAAAACCGGAAAGTATGCTGAACCTGCCTGCTGTGAAGTCTCCTAAACTGACTGGCGATGAATTTCACTTCATCAGCTATCAATGCAAAAGCCTCCACCTCTGTTAAAGCCTTGACAGTTCGAGTCGATGGAGGTAAGTTGGCACCAGATTTAGGATCCAGCGCCCATGTCAGGAGCTCTTCCCCACAGAAATCTCCTTCTTTCAAGAAGCCTAGGTTGAAAAATCCACTTCTCCCACCATCTGTAGTTACACTCTCCATACGCCCACGAATAACGAAGAGCATTTCGTCTACTGGATCTCCTTCCCGGACTATGTAAGTGCTCTCTGTGTATAAACTTGGTTTCAACCGCTCACAAATGGCGTCAAGCAAACGTTCATCCATATTTGCAAACAGAGGAACCTGCAAATGCCAACATACCTCGATTAGTCAAGAGATATGTCAAATGAGGAGCGACTTTATGGACTCAATGGCTTGTCCTAATACTAGCGACCGCCCCTTCCATGCACGGAGTATGCAAAGTCACCCCCTATCCTTCCATCACCCCCTACTGTTACCCCTACCCCTACCCCCACCCCAACATACAAAGTCAGGTCATGCAAAATGACCAGAGTTCTTACCCTTCTCACCAAGTTTAAACAGAGATGCCGCTTGATATCTCTCCTGAGGTCTTTCGGTAGATTCTGGACCAGGCTCTCTTCATCTACACCTCTTGTTTCAAGCCACTTGTATTGATTGTAGCGGCGAACTCTTTCTCTGAGCTCCTGTGGGAGTAATCTGTGATGCATCCACTGCTCGGAATCACGCCGTTTGATCCTCATCTCTTCGAGCCGAAGCGTAAGCGACTGAAGATAGGTCTGTTGCAATAACCAAGATACAATAAACCTCAGGCACTGACATGTGGTTTTGCTTCAAGCCTTTAACCTCTTGACCTTATTCAAAAATCAAGTGCTAATTCACTTGCAGGCTTGCAGCCACAGTTCATCCATGAGACAGTGAGTGGTAAATTGACTTGGCATTTAATTTAAATGGCATAAAATTCAATAATTGCGTAGAATGGATCGATCAAACATGGTACATATAGAGTCGTGCCAAAGCAAGTTTTCTACAAACCTGCATGTTACCAATCAGAAGAGCAAAAAGGACGAGCCCAAGAATGGCCACTAACATTGAAAAGATAACTTCGCCTGGATATGTACTGGTTAAAAGCCCCTGACCAAGTGTACTGTGAAAAGTGAAATACCAAACCATTAAGCAAATAAGGCTTTCAAAATTACATACACTAAGCAGAATGAGCAACTTTTAATGGTAGTGAACTCATGCATGAAGAAGCAGAAGTTAGCCAAAGAGAGAATAGAAAGCAAAAGAGCAGCAATCAACCACACATTTAGGATTGACTGCTCTGGATTTCTTGAACCAGGAAATAACACCGTCTCATTGTTTTACAAAATCTGTACCTAAAACACATACAGGAAATTTATATACTTGCACAGCTACGCTGGTAGTTATTAAACCTCTGAGGGAAGCAGAGGATTTTCTTAAACATTTTCATGAACAAGAGAAAAACATTGATTGCGGTTCTCTAATCAGATATGTTGTACAAAAATTGCCAAGAAGATTCAACTGTGTACATGTATGCGTAGTGTTTGAAACATGAGATAGATGTAAAACCATTCCTCAATTCTTAATTACATGTATTCCGTCATCCCTTTCCACTTCCATCTGTTTTCTCTTTATATACCAACTACCAATCAGGCCATTTGCTTGCAGCCTTGCACCACCACAGATCCATATATTTCATCTCATGCATTGAAATAATGACCACAGATGTCATTATGTAAAAGCAGCACAAAGGGAATGAAGGTGAACATTTAAAGGGGGAAAAAGGAAACAAAAAAAAGACCTATTTCGAATCATCACTTAGAATTGGACATGTCCTGAGATCACTTTTGAACCTTATGTATCTTAACATGTATAGTGCAACTTCCCGTCCAAACTTCCCTCCCCCTCTATTTAACACAAACAAAAGAAAACACAATCCATGAATGACAGGAAAAAGGGAAACCACTTTAAAGTAACTGGTTCATTGACTTCGTCCATATCGAGAATTAGACATTCATCATTAGCCAAGTGGTAGCCTAGCTTAATGTTTTTGGCTTTCTAAGCTCCTGGTTCAAGTCTCTATGTATGATATTGTTTTCCCATTCGGACAGTATGTTTGTGAAATTTTTTGTTTTTGTACTTCTCTGTTTTCAGTCCACGTGCACACATTGAGGAATGGGTGTTGAGAGATTTGTATACAGTGTTTGGTCCACTCTCAAAAGCTGAACTTCTGGAGCAACTGGTAGCCTAAATAAAAATTAAGGGCGTCCTCATAATTCAGAGAAAAATGACTATCATACCAGAGTTATCTGGTGTTATATAAGGTATATATGTAACATAAGTCTTGATCTGTGTTGCCTTTGTACTTGTCAATGAATAGTACATCCTCCTATTTTCCTGTTTTGGTCACTTAGCATGGTTCAAAGTATCGGCCGACTCGTATTAGTATTGGCCGAGTCGGATACGACTCGGTGTCTGCCGAGACAATACCGTATATATAAACCTTGAATCTTGCACAACTCGGCCGATTCGTCTGAGTTGTAACCGACTCAATTTCGAGTTGCCAAGTTGTTATCTTTGAATTGGCCGATACAGGTAAGCAACACCATGGTATGACCTGAACTTCTCATCATGTACAACATTTTTTTTTAGGTTGTATCACCCAATAACGAGCCACGACACGGCAACCAATGTGCCTCAAAGCTCTCCAAGTCGAAGGCTGGTACCGCAACCTTGAACCATGTCTCTAAGAGATAATTAAAACCCAATAGTTTGACAATTTTCACTTTGGAGACTTGTTGAAATAATCGCCACATCTATTAATCATATACATAATTTGGATCTCAAAAACATTATGATATGTGTCTTTGAAGTACTTTAAACCCCAAATGTGGGTATGGAACTATGAATGACGATGACCTTTCAATTTCATCATTCTTTGTTTATTCTTTGGTGTAATTCAATCAAAAATCAGTAGTTCTCTGATGAGTACTTCATAGAAAATCACTAGTTTCAGATGTATGCTTCAAACAAAATCACAACTGCTTCATGAAATCTTAAAGTACTAAATACTAAAATGGTACTTCACAAAGAAACATGAGCGCCTTGACGTTAGATCTTTAATAAAAAGGCTCCGGCTGATTTCTTAATCCATAATTCTTGTCTAATTTGCTCCACAGGAGAGAATAATGTTGAACAACTTGCTGAAATGGGAAGTATTTTATGCAATGACATTTACTGGTGTTTGGCAGTCAAGGCCTCCAAAGCTGTTGCCTAGGGTCACGGCCATCAATTCTCTGACAAGATTTCTGTGCGACCTTTTTAGTTATAACAATCTTAAAGCACAAGAACTATCTTTACAGTACAGGAAAGAAGCAAAAGTAGAAGACAGGACTCACCTATAGACAACATCACAAATGCATACTAACTACAAAGATGTTCAACTTTGAGGGTGATAATAGATCAAGCTCTGAATTGAAATTTCTCATGGTAAGATAATGAAAGGGGCTATAGCTCCCGTGTGATTGACTTGATTGTCCACATATCTTCTGTTCAAGCTGGAGGGTTTCAAATATGATCCAAGGCTCTTTGTTAGTTTTGGTCAAGTCCTAGGGTGTAGTTTTCTGGCCTTCTGAGGCCGTTGTCAGGTAGGAATTATTGCCTTGAATCTGAAGCTGTATGGATTTTATATGGGATTTCAAGTAATGTGATTTCCCTCTTCCTTGTAGTGTAACAAACAAAAAAAAAAAGAGAAAGAAATCAGCTTCCCCATTGTTCACACTTGAGCTCAGTGGTTAAGAGAGTTGAGCTCAGAGCCTCAAACCACCCAGGTAACTAAATTCCTGGAACCATCATCTATAGATTTGCTCATACAATCGATCAGCATTGTTTTAGCTTTTGGACTGACTTCCCCAATACAAATTAGGGCATGCCAACTGAAACTTAACTAATCTAAGCATGAAAACAGAAATAACATTTTTTTGACACAAATCGAACATCAAACATTATATATCAGAAAAAGTGGAGAACAAAAGTAGCTTACCTCAAGTTCTGTAGGCCCCACCACAAACAGTAAAAAAATTTAGAGACAAAATCCTCGGATTCGACTAAACCAGATGATAAAGCTGCTTCAAAGATCCCATAATTGAATTGTGGATCTTCTTCGTTAATGGAGCACCTTGGATTAATAACGGCCTGACTGAAGTTTTTCCATGCTTTTAAATAGTTTATATCCTTCTCTCCGCAATACAAGTCGTTTACACTACAGTTTCCAGGATTATCATTACAAGCTTTCTCCCAGCATGCATCCTTACGCTCCACTGCTAGTAAGTACCAGAGAGCCCCTATTATCTGTTATCTTACAAGTAAGAGTAATTAAATGAGTTCAATATACCGCACAAGAGCATTTATTATACTTTAGCTGATAGATGTTGAAGTATGTCCCAAGCTATTATGGTTGATGTTGTTTGAGAGCAGAAAGAATCGATGACCAAAAAAAAAAGAGAGAGCAGAAAGAATTAAATAATGAAACTAGCAATATAAAGTTTTATGTATAAGGGGCAAAAATGAGTGATACCATTAAGGATGGCAGCAACCTAGAATCAGCACAGTTGTCTTGTTGGTTCTATTTGGTTTTAGGGTGAATCATTGCAAAGAGTGCTAATTGAAATACTACAATTAGAAACAGGAGAGATAGAGAGAGCGCACTATTCTAGTCTTAATTCCAGGTCAGATTTCTTAAGTGGGCAAGGTAGTTCTAAAGATAAATTATTGCAGGGTCGCTGCCGCCACCTGAAAAAAATACATAAAAAATAAGCCACCCAATGTAGAGTTAATATCATACAGGGGATCTAGTCTCAGTGCCAGTTTTAAGAGTTTGTACTGGTCTGAAACTAGGACTGGATATTAGTTGGCTGAAGGCAAGGTTAAAGCATGGTCAGCAGTAATTTTAGAGGAAGCAAGCCTTAACCTTGAAAAAAAAAAACCTCAAGCCACATGTCTTAAAGATGCAAATCCCTATCTACATAGTTATTTTGTTTCTTATATTTGCTAATAAGAATGTGCAAATACCAAGAAAGTATCACCACTTTGGCCTGTTTTCTTAAGAGGACTAGCATCACTACTTGATACTATCAGGTATAGCTTGCTTTAAGTAACTCACACAAAATCTTTACTGAACCTCAACTCATTTTGAAAAATCCAAAGGCAGCTGCTTTCAAGCAAATTAGATGAGCATTTGACAGATCCGAAAATTTTGCAAAGGCTCTTCCTCTTATAAATTATTCCATGTTGGATTCACATGTGTTTCCAACACCATTGGATTCCATTTAGGTTAGTATATCAGATACAATAAGTCAATATCCTTGTCACCGAGCCTATAGAATCTATTAGTAAGAGAAGCAGGCTTCATTGGAAAGCATACATAAAAAATAGGGAAAAGGGTGGATTAGATATCCAAACTAAAAGAATATAAATACAAACACAGAGCTCTTACAATGAAACTTGATCCTTAACAATTACCATTATAGTATAACCAGAGAGCTACTTACATGACTAGCTAGCATAAACCATGATAAATAAAATGCAGCACCAGCCCAGGCAGTTTCGGCAAAGACACCAGCGGACTTCTTCAGCTCTGAAGTTAAAGGTAAAACCCGCCAAAACCTAAAAAAATATTGAATAATGACAATGCGCAACAAATCTTGTTTTGTAGCAAATACAGTTGCACCCTTCGATCTATGAAGAAATCTCCACACCAGAATCTGCACACAATTATTTAGACAGAATTACTTCAACTTCACTGAGAGCAAAACTTGCTACTGTTACACCAATCATAACTTCTTATCAGACACACTTTTCGCCAACACTTAGATGACATGTTCTTTTGTGGGCACCTACTTTTCATGTATCAAGGTGATAAAAATATTGTCCCATCCATAGGAGGCTTCAAATTGTAAACAAATAAATTGAATCCGACAACGAATGGCAGGCATGACTGGCATGGGAGTAGTAATTTATGTTGCTGTGGTCTTGGAAAATTATAGATTGCACAGAGTTAAGGGGTATACGGAAACGCTAAATGTACTATTTGCTCCCACATCTCTCCCATCAAGTATAATNGCAGTAATTTTAGAGGAAGCAAGCCTTAACCTTGAAAAAAAAAAACCTCAAGCCACATGTCTTAAAGATGCAAATCCCTATCTACATAGTTATTTTGTTTCTTATATTTGCTAATAAGAATGTGCAAATACCAAGAAAGTATCACCACTTTGGCCTGTTTTCTTAAGAGGACTAGCATCACTACTTGATACTATCAGGTATAGCTTGCTTTAAGTAACTCACACAAAATCTTTACTGAACCTCAACTCATTTTGAAAAATCCAAAGGCAGCTGCTTTCAAGCAAATTAGATGAGCATTTGACAGATCCGAAAATTTTGCAAAGGCTCTTCCTCTTATAAATTATTCCATGTTGGATTCACATGTGTTTCCAACACCATTGGATTCCATTTAGGTTAGTATATCAGATACAATAAGTCAATATCCTTGTCACCGAGCCTATAGAATCTATTAGTAAGAGAAGCAGGCTTCATTGGAAAGCATACATAAAAAATAGGGAAAAGGGTGGATTAGATATCCAAACTAAAAGAATATAAATACAAACACAGAGCTCTTACAATGAAACTTGATCCTTAACAATTACCATTATAGTATAACCAGAGAGCTACTTACATGACTAGCTAGCATAAACCATGATAAATAAAATGCAGCACCAGCCCAGGCAGTTTCGGCAAAGACACCAGCGGACTTCTTCAGCTCTGAAGTTAAAGGTAAAACCCGCCAAAACCTAAAAAAATATTGAATAATGACAATGCGCAACAAATCTTGTTTTGTAGCAAATACAGTTGCACCCTTCGATCTATGAAGAAATCTCCACACCAGAATCTGCACACAATTATTTAGACAGAATTACTTCAACTTCACTGAGAGCAAAACTTGCTACTGTTACACCAATCATAACTTCTTATCAGACACACTTTTCGCCAACACTTAGATGACATGTTCTTTTGTGGGCACCTACTTTTCATGTATCAAGGTGATAAAAATATTGTCCCATCCATAGGAGGCTTCAAATTGTAAACAAATAAATTGAATCCGACAACGAATGGCAGGCATGACTGGCATGGGAGTAGTAATTTATGTTGCTGTGGTCTTGGAAAATTATAGATTGCACAGAGTTAAGGGGTATACGGAAACGCTAAATGTACTATTTGCTCCCACATCTCTCCCATCAAGTATAATCATTATATTGTATATATATCCACATGACATACAAAAACACAAAAAAAAAAAAAAATAGATAAGTGTAGTGTGTGTGTCTGTATGTGAGCTGTTACAGCAGAGAATCCAAGTATGATTGTCAAACCTGTGGTAAAGGTAGCACGGAAATAAGGTCCACGATGAAAAATCGATGTAAATATCTGCTTGCTATATCTGCAGGATCTATTACAAGTTCACCTCGCCCAAAAACGCGAGACGACGGTGCAATATAAGCTGTACGGAACTGGAGAAATATGCGTATGATGTAGAAAATGTCAACTACCGTCCGCAGAGTTGTAATCGTGTATGCTAAGCTTTCATCTATATGAAGACACATATCTTCACTCTTGAAAATGGGAAGATAAAAAAACAAAGGATCAATGGATACTGCAATAATACATGATATGAGCAAAAGCTTGTTCCAGAAAAGGAGAGACTTGTCTTGAGGATCAAATATCTTCTTCTCAGACACTTCAAGATCTTCAGGGAACATTGCCCGGGTGACTCCAGATCTCAATGATCGACCAAATGTCATTAGTCCTTCAGATCTTTTTTTCATTCCTAATCTAAGTGACTTTGATCGGTTGTGATTTGAACGGCCTGCGGTGGTTAATCCCTCTACACCAAATCCACATCTTTTCATCCCAGCCATCTCAGAAGAAAATGATACTGTAGAATCCAAATCATCCAGCCTATAATGAATAAAGGGCCAACACAAAAAATCAGATGCCAACTTCATTAAATAAATGCTTCAACAAATCATGCTCTAACGTTTTCATCAGTTAAAACAAAGAAAAATAACAAACACTATCATTCAAGTGACAGGTATATCCACTCTGCAATAATTGAAGAAACAAATGCTGTCATACAAGATAACAGAATACACTGACCATCTTGTACCTTACAAATTTCTCTCTCTGCCCGCCCATAAAGTGAGACTTGTAACCACAATCAAACATTATGAAGACGAACGGTGTAGAGGATGGAAGCAAGGTAATCAAAATGTCAGCAATCACTAGAGAAGAATTCAAGTTCCAGAATGGATAAGCCTTTCAACTGGCGTATGGAAGCATCAAAAATCACATCAATGAGAATCCCTGCACTGCAAATGAAAAACATCAGATACTGAGGTAGCAGTTCTGATAATGGTAAAACACCTATGCATTGTTCAAAATGCCGTACTATGTCTCTGAGTTTCTCTGCCCAGACAATTACTCAAAGCACATTCGAGAAAGAAATTGCATTTCAACATCTGTAATCTTGTAATCCCAATATCCTGATTACCAGAAAAAACACCATTATACAACAAATTATCTTAGACCTTTACAAATCATTAGTGTAAGCCACTGAACTCTGCACCTCAGCGAGAGGCATGCATATTATTTTATCTAGAACAAATACATCATGGTCATAAGTATAGTTCTTTTCCAAGGAATTCTGCTGGTTAGCTACCGATGGAAGCTTGTGTGTATAACATAAACCTCATCATACTCTTGTTCCTCTTCACACACACAAACTTAGAGGACACTGTTTGCTCAAATACTTAGAATTAACACAAGAAATTGCTACTGCTGCCAACAGAAATTCTCATCATCGTTCCCATCATCATTATTTTCAATTGACTTTGTTTTATCAACTTTCTTAAATGTATTGCAATGTAATCATCCTTGTTTTACCTTTTCTTGACACTAAAAAAACAAAGATTATTGATGTTTTTCATTCTTTATACTTGCCATTAAGAACCACCAAAGCCCAACTCTTTTTCAGATTCAGGACCTAATAATGGAACACCAAATGATCCAGAAAACATTTTCAACCACAAGGGATGGGGGGAGAAAGAAATAAAAAAGTACTTTAGAATTTACAGTTATCACAGATGAAATGAACATCTAAAATATGTTATTAAATGGAGAAAAAAAGAATATCAAGAAATCGAATAAAAAATGTCATCTGGAGATTTTATACAGGGCACTTATGGAGTTATATGAATCATTAGGCGTATCTAGCGAATGAGTGTCTCGCCGTTATGGAGTCTGGAAAGGGTTAGATATACGCAGCCTAACCATAGAGACTGTTTCTGCAACTTATACAAATCATTCATAGAGATAAATATACTAAAAGCTTAAGCTGGCATTACACCAACGATTCAAAACAAATTTCTTCATTCGAAATGGGGCCAAGAAGGAACCAAATCCTCAATTGAATGAAAGGGATACCATATCACTTTCAGATTGCGTTGAAATTAAGCTATTCCATTTGTCCACAATCATCCCCATTTTCTGTAATGACACCATTCCAAGCAAACCGAAACAAATCCATTCAATTCAATGTGTGTGTGAAATCCGAAACGCGCTTCATAATGTATAAATGGAAAGAAAAGGAAGCTACATTACCAATCAGTATTGCATTGCGTGAAATTCGAATGAAGATTGCGGAAAAAATAAAAATTCGTCACTTAACAATATAAATTCTTCAGTCTTCGTCCTCCATGAAAATGCTACGGCTTGCAGCTACAGAGAGAGAGAGAGAGAGAGAGAGGGAGAGGGAGAGGGAGAGGGAGAGAGGATCTATTTTGGGAGGGAATGCGCGCGCCAACAGGACAGCCATGAAGGTCGGTATGTAGTATTAAACTAACGGAGTTTTGGAGACTGACCAATCAGAAACGGTTACACGGGGTGTATACACACACACATACATATATATATATATATATATATACACACGAGGAATACTATATGAACTTAAAAAGTATACTTAAAAATTAGATTTGATAATCTTAACCATTGATTTCACTATAGGTCCCAGTATTTATTAGGACTCACTGTCTATTCAACGGTTGAGATTATCAAGTCTATTTTTTAAGTCTATCTAGCATTACTCTATATATATATATTTAGTTCCGTGGATCTAAATTTTACTTCGATGATATAGGCAACAAAAATATTTGGGAAAACCTTATTTTGTCCTTAAAAATATACAAAAATTTTCAATTTGCTCCGTTAATGATTAAATGAAATAAAATGTTATAATGTGAACCAAAAAACATTGTAATCTACTTCCAAAAATATTGTAATAAAAATATTTTTGGACTATATTATAACGTTTTTATTTTTTTGAGGGGGCAATGTAGAAAAATTAATCATTCGGGAAATAAATTAAGAATTTTTGTAATTTTTAGGGGGCAAAATGATATTTTCACAATAGATTTTAAAAACATTTTAAAAGTAGGGTGAAATTGAATAAAAAAATTGAAAATATATTTCCCAACTATTGATCAAAATAATACTAACACACTTCAAAATATACTGAAATAATACTGGAATAATGGTGAAAACATCTTCTTCTTCTTTTTATCGAATGTCAAAATATCTCAAAATTTTTGAAATATTTCAAAACAGTTGTAGCAATGCAATTTCGATTTCATTATTATTTCGCTTCGGCGTCCTTCTAAAAAGAAATGTTGTAGCATTTTTAATTATTTCAAAACAAAATTTTGATCCTTATTTTAGTTGGTCTAATACGTAAAGTTACTCTAGTATTCTACAAAAATAAATCTATAATATAAAACAAAACATGCTTCAATAAATTTATTTGACGGTATCAAATAGACTCATCCAACAGCTATCAACACCTCTATTAAAACCATTCACATTAAATTTTCCCTCTTCTCTCCTCCAAATTCATCATTTCTCACTTACGTTACACTGTGTGTTTAAGTACGGGTTACCCCCTAATTTTTTATAATTTTATGACTTTATTTAATAATATATTTTTGTTGGATTAAAGTTAGACCAATACAAGATTTACGAATAAAATTAATTTTTTTTGCAATAGTCTTTTTTTTTAGACTTATCCTACTCAGCAGGCGAATTCGTTGGCAGATTGTTTGACAAACAAAGGCAAGGCGGAACGAGAAAATGTTAGAGATTTCAAATAGAATATCAAACGGGTATGAATTATTAGATCAGTGGGTCCAGCAATTTATTGTTCATTCAAAAATAAGAGAAGTGACAAATCCGCAATTCGAGGAAGAAAACTACTCTGCGTACATCACTCTAGCTAAGAGCCTAAGAGAAGGATTACGAGAAGAGAAAATTTTATTTTTCTTATAATATGTTATAGTTGCATGCTTATTTCAATTTTTGAAAATAATGTACGTTATATAATTCTCTTGTACTGTCCAGGCATTATTGAAAGTATTAAAAATATATATAATTAATTTATATTAATCGTAACTAAATTAGTTTTGTGTAAAACTTTTTTTGCATATTTCTTAGACAACCCATCTCAATATCGACTTAAGAACAAATACTAAATAAAATAGTTAGGTAAAACTTATGAAATATGAATTTTATAAGGTCGATGTATCACCCCAATAAAGATAGGGGTACAAGTTATAAATTTAGATGTTCTGAATTTAAAATTTATTAATTCTTTTTTGGTCAAACCATGAAAAATTTATTTCTCATAAATTCTCTAGTTTCAATGGGGATAATTGGTTTTTAATTGAATCGAAGAGGAGATTATTTGATATGCGCGTAAACTTTTAATAGTCTAGGATCTTTATAGCTCAAGTTGTAACAGAGACAAGCAGTAAACTCAGATTTCCTGAGTTCGAATTTTGACAATTTCTTAGAGTATGACCGTGAGAGATTTATCCCTCATAAATACATTAGTCTTAACGTGTATGACATATTTTTGACAAGACCAAAGAAATAATTAGTTGAAATGTATATAAACTAACTCAGACCTTTGGCCGTTGAACCAAAACAAACTTTAGCTTGCATGACTAGGTGTAAGGGTCATTTGTCACCCTGACTATGTGTAATTCTGTTTTTTCATATTAATAGAATTATACTCATGTAATGTTGGGACCCAACTAATTAATATATATATATATATATATACTCTTGTCATGCACTCCCTAATACAAGGTTGAAGTAACGTTTTCAACTTATGTCGTGTTCTTCAGACTTGCCGTGTATAGCAAGGTCAATTACTTAAGAGTGTAAAACAGATAAGTTAGTTGTGATTAAACAAAGAACACGTCCCTTGTGTGTGCTATTTGTTTGTTTTACATTTGACAAACTTTCAAGGTGGTCAAGGATGGATAGCTTCATTCAACAACTCCGAGCCCTCTCTACATGAATGTTCAAGTCAATCTTTTTCTACAGTAAATCCAACGTATTTCTGATGCATTAAAGTCGTAATGTATGACCATCAACTACATACCCGTAGGTCATGGAACAAATAGGATGGATAGGCTCCACCACTACATTACACGTTACTCTTTAATTCTCATCACATTTGACCATGGCTCACACCAAGACTCAAATCCATTCTGAACATTTTCTAGATCACCTTTCCTCTTTAATTTTCGATCAAAATTGTGTTATCAGGGCTCTGAAATTAGGACAAATTTATTTTATTGAAAAAAAAAAATTCGATATTTATCACTTTTAATAGTGACATTTTTGGGTAAATATTTCAAGTGTCTATAATACTCCTCATTTCTTCTTATCTTAACTACTCATAACTATCCATTATTACATATCATTTTTTTATAATTTATATCTTATAACTCTTAGATCTCTCTCGTTCTACTCTAATCTCACTCCAAAAGTTAACACGCCTATAATCGTGTGCAAGACAACTATTATCAGAAAGAACAATATAAATTATTCCTTAAATTATGTCTCAATAATATTAATCTATCAAAAATTGGTGAAGTTGGAACCCAAAAGGTTCACCTCATAAGGGCATTCCGTGTCAACTAGGACAAAGTTTTTTTTTTTATTTTTTTTTGTTTAATGGTCAAGTGTGTTCAATTCAACAAACGCGCACCTCGACTAATCTCTTCTTTAGTTCGGTCAAATATAGACCATTTATGTTAGCACTGAGATATTCATATAAGTTGCCATAATTCAAATCAAGACGTTTAAATTTACGATTTATGCTGTTATTTGGACAGAACTTTGACCTTAGCCTATAATGGCTCTAATTCCTCAATGTGTCATATTTTGGGTGGTCACGTACCCAAATAAAAAATTTCATTCTTATCCCTTAAAATTTATTAATTTACTCTCATGACATAAATTCTAAGCTCTTTAACAAAGTCTCCTCGAACGACGGAAGATTCCTCTCCCTAAGATATTGGTTCCCCTTTGTTTAATTGGAGAAATTCACCTAGACCGCTTGAGGTTTACCACTTAATTATTTAGTCCTCATAAGATTTGTACGCATATAATATTTAGGCCCTGCTATAAATATATCAGTTAATAAATTATATTTAAACCTCCATAAAGTTTATAGGTGCTATACCTTGTAAGTTTAAAATATTATATTTAAATAAAAAATATTGTAATCAAAGATAAAATATCAAATATTTTAAATTTTACAACCAAAATTCATGTTCTATTATACCATTTATTGAAATAAAATAAAAAATAAAAAATTAATTTTTTTCTTAAACAATCGTAATTAGAATATAATTATATTATCTATTAGAATTTAATTTAGTTGTTTAAACGACTAAATTAAAATTTTAAACTACCTCAATTAAAGTTAAAAAGATATTGTGTCAATTACAGTTTGATCTCTTGTTTAATTTTTTAGTTTTATTCTAATAGATAATATATAATTATATACTAACTATTATTTTAAAAAAAACTAAACTTTTATTTTTGATTTTATTTTAATAAATGACATAATAAAACATGAATTTTGGATGTAAAATACATGTTCTATTATGAATGACAAAGAACCCTTATTTGATTTTTTAGTTTTATTTTAATAGATAGTATAATTGTATATTAATTACGATTTTTTAAGAAAAAATTAAATTTTTAATTTTATTTTAATAAATGATACAATAGAATGTGAATTTTGGTTGTAAAATTTAAAATATTTGATATTCTATATTTGATTGGAGTATTTTTGGTCTAAGTATAATATTTTAAACTTAAATGACCTAAATATTATATATCTATAAATTTTAGAGGTCTTAATATAATTAATTAACAGATATATTTACAACAAATGTCTAAGTGTTACACGCGTACAAAGTTCAGGAGATCTGTATGTAATATTTTAAATGTCAGAAAATCTGAGTAATTAAGTGACAAATTTCAGAAAGACCGAGTGTAATTCTCCCTTATTTTATTTATTATTATTATGAAATAATGGGGGTAATTTGAGGCAACTGATTCTCTATTATATTATCTAAAGGGCCCACATCAATGATGAAAACAACTTTTGTGGGGGCAAATTAGCGAAAGTATATGAGATTTATTGAAACACTATCAATGTCTCTTAAAGCTATCATCATAGCATGATTTGAGTTATACACTACCAACGGCGTCCTGTATTACTTAGTTTCATTTTTTTTTAATTATTTATATTATTAAAAAATTACTCAATAATAAACTTAGGGTGAAATATTTAGTCATTATTTATCTCATATATTATACTTTGACCACATCAATTACAGTTCAGATCTTATGTTGTCTCCTTAATTACTTGAGTAAGTTTCATATTGGTCTAGAAAAGAGTTAAGCATGTTTTGGATGAGAAATGTCCAAATATGTAGCAAATTACACGTTTTCGATATTTATAATAGGGGCAATATGCAACAAATAATCATGATTAGAGGTGCATTTGAGAATAGTTAGAGTTGAGGGGCTTATGCAAAACTAATAACCACAAATGAATGTACTTGTGATAAATGTGATATGTATGAATTCAATACTTGACAATTAAGGAGATTACAGTATAATTTTTCAACTTTGAAATAAGGGAAAGCATATCTAAGTCCTCCAAAGCTAAAAATGAAATTAAGGGCAAGTCCAATTGCCAGAGAGAACCCCTTTCCAGGTCACTGATGTGGGTTCAAGGTTCATCATTCCGACTCGAGTAAATAATGAATCTAACAATGATATCATGACAGCAATGTTGACATAATATCACCGATCAATAATAAAACACCAAGTGGATTAGATAAACTCTATTTGGATAGTTATTTACTTATATGATAGTTTTAGTGGGACTCATTACTTATTTGTTTTGATATCTCCACGGGATATCACCGGCGTAATGAATATTTTCTCCCCCCGACACATTATTGAAGTTTTTTATCGACTTTCGTAAAAAAAACGAAAAAGTGATTGTCGTTTACGTTAATAAAAAAGATTAGACAACGATTTAACACCGAAAAGCAAAATGGTAAAAGGGAAACTTTAAAGGACAATGAAAATTAGGCCCAACAACATAAAAATCCAAGTTCCATTTCTCAAATCTCACCTTCTTGTTGGTGGAATGGTCCCACTCTCCACCAGCCATGCATGTTCTTTTGCTGGCTACCTTCTGAGCAAAAAAGAAAGCCACTCTCTGCACCATGACCATTTTCTTTCTCCCTTGAAAACATGGCCACAGGGATGCCTCTGAACTAGTGAATTGAATGTGCCATTGTTCCTCTTGCAGTGTCTACATCACATAAAGATGAGGATTGGGGGTTGCTAAGGGGGGGCCAACTGGGCCACTGAGATATAGGTTAGTGCATCTGAAAATGATGCTTGGTGTAAAGAAATTTTGAAAGGCAAGGTATGTGTTGCCACTTTTGTATTTTTTCTAGGCATTAGAAATTTAGTAAGTTACAGAAAAAATTAGAATGGGGTGGGTGGGTGG